AATTAGCATTAGAGATCTGCAATAAATTGCCCTCTATCAGTCAAAGGATCTGGAGGCCAAGAAAGTCTGTGAAACAGTTCGATTTTCTGAAAGTAAAATTCAAAAGAAACGTCATAGCAATGTTTCTCACAAATATTGCCATATGTGTCATAGAAAACTGAATATAGACAGCCTTGGGGTAGCACATGATATAAAGTCGGGAGGTCTTCATCACTGTCTCTTTTCTTCCTCAGGAGTATAAATTAAATTTAGAATTACTTTCAAGAAGCCATATATAAACCTTAACATAAATATTATTTCCTTTTGGTTGATATCCTGTGACCTTCATGAGATTAGGCCCTAATTTTTTTCTTTATACCTGTTTCCATGTCCACAGAGAAGTTTTAAGTTACATCAATTTGCTGGATACAAATCTATAATATGAAACACCAGAGAAGGATTAATTCCCTCATAAGATTTGGAATAAAGGGACAGCAGAAACAAGACCCTTATAAGCAGAAATCCAGCACACCTCAATTGCACAGATGAGGAAAGTGAGGTTCAGCAGAAGGAAGGCACATCATTTTTAAGCTCATCAGTGGCACAGCCGGCAAGAACTGAGAGCCCCTTGTCCTTGCTTGATCTACTGTTCAGCACACCTACTGATTTGCTAAATCCCAAGGATCATGAAGATGATGGTGTCATCTTTTTTCTGCATTTGTAGCTTTTAATCTTTCTCATGCGTCCTTATAACACAGACATATAATTTGTCCCATGACCTGGAAGAGGTACTGAATGTACACAAAAGTGTTTCATGAAAAAAGCTGCCGTGTACCAGACTGAATTTTTAATTCTAGGCAAGTCTATTTCAATTAATGCTGGACACAAGCCCCTAAATTAATCTGCTGGGTCAAGAACTACTAATAGATCTAATACCACAGTGTTGGTGTCTGAGCACAGACCTCCTTTTGAAATCATCCCACAGAGTGGATATGAGCGTCATACATCAGATGTATGTGCCACCGTGCCTGGCTAGTAAGTGCCCTTTGTAAATGGGTAGAGGGGCAGAGGGAAAGAGCAAGAGAGAGGAAGAGATAAAGATATTTCAGAGATAAAGATATGAGGTGTCTTCTGTTTTTTTTTTTTTTTTACATTTCCATTATAAAGGCTCCCAAAATCATTCCCATGAGACATTTCAAAACCAGTGACTTGAACAAAGGCCATGCACAGAAGAGCAGATTTTCACCCTATGCACTATGCTGGAAGTCAACACTTAAGTTCATTAGCCAGGCATCACATTGCCTTCTCCGTTTCCTAAAAATGTCATTTCAAATCACAGCAGGCACAGAAAACAGTTCATTGTCAGCCCTGTGTTGAATTTTTATGTAGCAAGATGCTGTGGAAAACAAGGGCATTACAAATACATAGATAAATATTTGCAGGGTGCCTTAGTGTTATGACAAACATCTACTCCATGAGGACTTTTCTCTTGATTTAGAAGCTTCTACAGTCTTACACTGGTTCTATTCTCCTGTTACTTTGCTGTTTTCCTGAGTCAGCAGCTTTTTACATGCTGTCTCTGGGCCTTTTTATGATCCTCTCTTTTTTGTTGCTGTTTTGTTAGTTTGGTTTTGTTTACTTGTTTGCTTTTTTCTTTTGCTTTTTTTTATATATGTATATTTTTACTTCTTTGTTTACTTGTTTGCTTTTTGTTTGGTTGGTTTTGTTTATTTGTTTGTTTGTTTTTAAATACAGGGTTTTCTTGCTGTGCAGCCCAGACTGGGCTCATACTTGGCATCCCACCTCAGTCTCACAATTCCTGGGATTATTACATTTCAATACTGTTCCACTTTTTAAACTTTTTTAAACTGCATTTTTTCACTTTTTGCTTTAAATTTCCTGTTTTGAATTCTGCAAACTTTATTCCAGCATTTTTTTAAAGAAAGGGTCTCACTCTGTAGCTTTGGCTGCTCTGGAACTCACTCTGTAGAACAGGTTTGCCTCAAACTCAAAGAGATCCACCTACCTCTGCCTCCCAAGTGCTGGAATTAAGGTGTGCACCATCATACCTGGTCTTTATCCCAGCATTCTTCATGGTCTCTACCCATTAAGCAGTCATCTACCTCAGACCACACACACACCTTGCTCAACAAAGCATTCTACTGGACTCATTCTGGAAGGCTTTAGAGGAAATCATTCTCCGTCTATTCCCTCTTGTGGAGCTGTTGAGCGTGTCACTGTGTGGGAGAAGATGGAGATAAAAGCCAGGCTCACCAGGTTAGTGAGAAAAATAGTTATGGTCTCGTGACGCCATAATCTGAGCTGTAGAATAAGACTTGAACATTGCACACATTTTAAATAAGTTATGTTTGTATTTATGCAGGTTGAGCACAGGTCATCTTTATCCAATAAAGGACTCTTTCATTAACATATTCTCCCACAGTGCCTATGGATCCACAAAGCTCCTTTAACAAGACGCCTACCCAGACCACTCTTGACATTTCAACTTCTCCAATTTAAGAAAATGAGATGAAAATTAACTTCCTGAAAATCAGATTTGAAATTTTAAAATAATTTTTTAAAAGAGGGTTGGGAGGAAGGGTTGGAGAATAACTCAGGGAAAGAGCGCTTCCCAGGCATAGATGAGGTCCTTGGTTCTGTCTTCGGTGCTGTTGTTAATTGTTTTTTGGTGTTTTGTTTTGTTTTGTTTTGTTTTTTGAGCTCTTTTCAGGCATAGATGAGGTCCTTAGCTCTGTCTTCAGCGCTGCCATTTTTTTAAGATGGCAGTATCATCAACATATTAAAGTAGTGATGACCATATTCTGCTACAAGTTTGTTTTTCAGCACCCTGAGGCCAGTAGCCATTATATCCTTGGGAAACCAGACTTTGTGGAGAGGTGAGAACTAGGCAACAACATTTAAAAAAAAAAAGAAAGAAAAGAAAAGAAAAAAGAAAAGAAAAGAAAAGAAAAGAAAAGAAAAGAAAAGAAAAGAA